ACATTCATCAAGAATCATAAGGTACAACACTTAATGATAATCATATGGTACAAATAAGCAATCAGGAAATAATCAATTTCAATATAAATCGTAAGGAAACAAGGAACAAAGTTATGTCCTGCAGTCATAAGTGGGAGGAGATGGGTGATAGGAACGATGAGAAGCCTAGACAAATGGAGACAAATGGCTGTCCAGTCTCTTCTTAAAAACCTCCAATGATGCAGCAATCACAACTTCGGGAGGGTAATAGTAATAGTAATGCAGCCTTAGTGAATGGTTTGACAGTGGTGAGGGAATTATTCGTTTAGCAGAGTGATGGTGTTCGGGGGGGAAACTGTCCTTGTGTCCAGTTGTCTTGGTGTGCAGTGCTCTATAGCGTCGTTTTGAGGGTAGGAGTTGAAAGAATTTATGTCCAGGATGCAAGGGGTCTGTAAATATTTTCACAGCCCTTTTTTTGACTCGTGCAGTGTATATGGCCCACATGACCCTGGGACGCAGTGACCATCATAAATATGAGCCACTTGCCAAGCATCTGAATTTTAATCATGTGACTTTGCTGCAAGGGTCATAAGTGTGAAAAATGGTCATAAGTCACATTTTTCAGTGGTGTTGTAACTTTGAATGGTCACTAAATGAACTGTTGTAAGTTGAGGATTACCTGAATCCCTGCTCTGTTGGATAGATTCTCACGTAACACTGGCTCTGACATACATGTCAGGAAACAGACATGCAACGGTCAATCATGTTCTTAGATGTGATGAAAAGCTCAGATTCTCAAGTTCAAAATGAAAATTTTGAATGAGAGGCCAAACATTTTCTTCTTCCTCCTCAAGGAAAAAATAATCCAGTTGCCTTTGGAAGGAAAAAAAAAAGACCTTTGAAACAATCTCCACAGACATTTACAATATTGCCGTGTTGTTAACATTTTCCAGCAGGGATAATTGTTCTGTAATCTTGGACTGAGAGTCTGAATAACAGAATAAAAGAGTTGGAAGCAGTGGTGAGTTCTGGATCCCGTTGCAACCGGTGCAACGGGGCCGGGCGTCCACCACATGAACATGCATACTTACCGCCAGCGAAGCTCCGCGATGCCTCCGCAACACTCCAGCTGCTTGGCGGTGCGTTGCGCAGGCGCCATACACTCTGTCCGCGTGCAGGGAAGCCCCGAAAAGCTCAAATACAGGTAAGGAGCGTGGGTGAGCACTCTGGAGCACCGTACCAGAACGGTACCTGGTGCTCCCAGCAAGCACTGGTACGCCCGTACAGGGTGTATCCCACCACTGGTTGGAAGGGATCTTGTAGGTCAACTAGTCCAACCTCACCCACCCACCCAAGCGAGAGACCCTACACCATTTCTGACAGATGGCAATCCAATCTCTTCTTGAAAGCCTCCAGTGTTGAAGCTCCCACAACATCTGAAGGCAGCTTCTGTTCCTTGGGTTGATTGTTCTCATGGTCAGAAAATTCTTCCCTATTTCTAAGTTGAATCTCTTGGTTTAACCTGGGTTTAGCATGTTTTGGGAACCCAACCAGAAAGCCCCAGTCTCTTTCCCTAGGCAGGACTAATCGATACAACCGAAGGCCGGCTCAAGCAACCCCCAAATTCAGTCCTCCTCCTCCTTATACGGGAGGCCGTATAAATTATCTGTGCTGGTGCCATATCAAATAAATGAAATAAATAAATTAAGAGCAATGCTCTCTGCTTCTTTTGGGACTCTGATTGTATCCTTTCATCAATGATAGCAAGATTTTAAATATATACATGCATGATTATACATGTTTGGCAATGATGAAACAGGTAGAAAACCTCTCTATTTTAGAAGGCAGTTCTCTCCCTTCCAGTCAAATGCCCAATGATCCTTCTGCTTCTTGAGTCGATTCCTCTTGAGTTTTGGATATTATGAGCAAAAGCAAACACCCCTTTCCCGTGGAAATATTTAGTGAAATCTGACATGCCTGGTAATTATTTCCGCAGTTCTCATATAGGGGTTTGTTTTGACAGTCATAATTGAGAGTTAAATTAGCATCCCTGAAGTTTCATGCTGTCAGGCAGAGGTGAGTCAATCAGAAGGGATATGTTGAAAGTTGCCAGGCAACTCCACACACTTAAACAGGTCCAGGGAATTCAAAACAATAAAACAGAACCTGTTTTCTATGTGGATTTGCAAGTGAGTTTCGCTCATTCTTCTGTGTCCGGAGAAAGGATTTGCAAGTGGGTTTTGCTCATTCTTCTGTGTCCGGTTGTCAAATTTGTTTGGGCTTGTATGGCCATTTCAAATGTCTGTTGTTTGGAATTGTAGAAAAATATACTGTTCCCTACTCTGTAGTTAATATAACAATGCACTCAAAACCCATCTTGGAAATGGTTGTGTCACATACGTTCCAATGGGAATTATTCCAAATGGATTATCATATTCTTAACTCAGTGAAGATGCTCCTACTGCCATTATTAATTGATTCCCCAATTTAGGATGCTGCGATCTCTGTGCTAAATTTCCTTTTCTAGCGAGTAGCTTGATTAGAGGAATTTGCCATTGTATACAGTACATTCCCATATCAGCTTTATTTTGCTGTTCGCTTTCAATACATTCATCAAGCTTCATTATCCCAACTGGCCCATTTAATTCTGTGAAGATGCCACATCTGATTTGCTGTCTGAAATGCATGCCTGTATCTTAAGGGGAATGCATTGGCAGCACCTGCATACAAAATGGAATAGACTCTTTCCCTTCAAATCTGAAATGGTAAATCAGCAGGCTGTAACTCTTTTTAATCCGTCATTTATCCTATCCATACGCGTGTTAATTGTGAATTCCACACTAAATACCCTGTGCTCCCCCCACCCCACCCCCTATTTCTATATATTGGGTACTGTACAAGTACAGATGCAAGAGGAGGGGGGCGATGAAGGGAAGAAGTTGCAGCTGTCTCTAGTTCTGCTTGTTGGAGTTTTTGAAGGTAAACATGTTTTCTTCTGCTTGCAACCTAGCAACTTTATGGCCATTGGGTAAATGAGATTGTAGCATAAGCTATTCTTGTAGCCTGAGAATCTTTTGCATGGAAGCAGAGAATGCCTTTTTCTGCTTGCCTGAGGCTCTGCCTTTCCAACACATACTAGGATCAGTTGTCCTCGATCAGGAAAGGGGTAAGGTGAATGCTTCATGGTCAGGGAAAAGGGCTACATTGATATTTCTGGTGGTCTTCCCTAACCTTTGTAGAAATCTCTTGAGTGGGTACTGTAATCAGGTGTCTTCCTTCCTTCCTTCCTTCCTTCCTTCCTTCTCTCCCTCCTTTGATGGGGTGATGAGGTACATGAGATCAGGACCAGGTGTTGATTTGTACACTTTTCCAATTGTTAAAGAGAACCGCCCCATTAGAATTTCCAGAGTGCAACTATAAATACTGTAAATAAACGTTCCAAATAATTTCAACTCACTATTGTTGAGGGCATAACTCAATCATTGTTGAGTCTATAACTTTTTGGTGATGTAACACATTGAACATTTTTGCATGATGAAAATTATCTTGATTTTAAATTCCTTCCAGTATTGTTGTAGTCATGGAACAAATTGGAAAAAGCTATGTGGGGTTTCCCCCCACCCCCTCCCTCTTATCTGTAGTTGGCTTCTTTTCTCTCTCTGCCTTTCTGTAACCTTGCTTCATCGCAGCTGCCTTTCTCTGACAGCAGAATGATAGATGTGCTTTGCTCCAGAGGGCAGAAGGCCACCAGCTCGGAAGGACGGCGTATGCCACTGATCAGCCTATTCAGTGGATGCACTGAGCCGTGGCACTATGAGGATTTCATCAGCCTTTAATGCATTAACCTTTCATTAGGCACAGCAACCCTTGCCTGTGCCTTGCTCTCCGCTTAGACTATTCATCTCATTGCCTGGCTATGCCATGTGCCTTGACATCATGAAGAATCCCCTTTTGTCTCTACCTGGGGAGCACTGATATATTCATGAAGTTTTAATGCTGGTGAATCTTGTATCTGCTTTTCTGTAGAGATTGGTGCAATGGACACAAATGAGGCCAGCTTCGTTATTTTGTGTTAAAGAAATCTGCTAACCTCGTTCTCTGTTCCCAGTCCTCAGAGGACTGTGCATTTTGAGTATATGCCATACCAAAAAGATCCTATACTACTAAAATATGTTGAGAAAGTAACTGATGCCCAGCCAGGTGGACAAGAAGAGTTAATTGTAATATGGAGCAATCAGCTGCAATCTAGAATGTGCAAAGTTTGTTTCTGCTTTGGCTCTGAAAAAAGCTTTTTAACAATCTGGATTAAGAATCCCTCCATAAAGGAATACAACAGATACATTCCTTACATAGATTTCAACTTACATTCAAGGTTCTATATAAGCACTAGAATAATTATGGTTTATTTTGCTACCTAAAAGGAATTAATTCTCCCTTAATAATATCCAGATCAATTAAGTTAAGTTAATACTCTCTTTTTTTTAAAAAAAAATCTACAAATAATTCTTTCCCTGCTGTAAGAACAATAAACAAACAATGCTATTGTTTTTCAGAGCATCCAGTTTCACTTTGAGGGGAAGCAAAATTTGTCTCTCTTTCCCTCCTCTTCCCCTTTATGGAAGTATCAGTAGAATAAATTAATTGTATTTTTAAACTTCTGGGTCAGTCTTTAGATAATGAGATGTCATAGGAATATTATATGTCTGGAGAGGAATAGTGAAGACATTTTCAATTGTTTTTCATACGTGTTTGATAGCTCTCTAACGTTTGTATGTTTTGAGTACCGTTTGCATCCTTCCACATGTTTTCTTTTTATGCTACTCTTGCAGGTGGAGGCAGAGAAACATCAAGATGTTGTGGTTTATGATCAGAGCACAAGGGATGTAAATGGGCTGGCAACCGACAGTTTCCTATCCATTCTTTTGGGCAAGCTGGACAGTTGCTTCCACAGTGTCTCCATCCTCACAGGTAGGATTTGGCAGCAGTTAGGGTGGTGGGCTGAATTTCTTTTTTCCATATCCTTGAAAGGCAGAAACCTGTGTCCATGTCAATGCAGACTTTGGTAAAATGGTGGATGAATAATGCTGGATACCTTACCTTGCTATTTAGCATGCCCTTGTGTAGGTAGGTAGGGTCATCCAATTTTGTAAAAAGTAATCTTAAAAACTTTTAGTTGATAGGTAAAGATTCCCCCTGCACATATGTGCTAGTCATTCCCAACTCTAGGGGGCAGTGCTCATCTCCACTTCAAAGCCGAAGAGCCAGCGCTGACCGAAGACATCTCCGTGGTCATGTGGCTAGGATGACTAAATACCGAAGGCACACAGAACTCTGTTACCTTCCCACCAAAGGTGGTCCCTTTTTTCTACTTGCATTTTTACATGCTTTTGAACTGCTAGATTGGCAGAAGCTGGGACAAGTAACGGGAGCACACTCTATTATGCGGGACTAGGGATTTGAACCGCTGAACTGCCGACCTTCTGATCAACAAGCTCAGCGTCTTAGCCACTGAGCCATTGCGCCCCTTAAGCCATCATGTCTTTCAGTTGATAGGAGCACAAAAAACAAGGAACCAGAAAATATAATGCAATAAACATCTAGAATGGAAAAAAAGAACAATGGAGTAATTAAAAAAGAAATAGAGTTCACCAAGGCTAATGAATGCATTCAGGGTCTTTCTGCCTGGATGAGCTCATCTTGCATTCAAGTCCAATGCCTGGTGGAAGAGCTGGGTCTCCAGGGCCTTAGGGAGTCACAAAAGGATCAAGGCCAACAAACAGGGAAGTGGTGGTGTTGCATGCGTTGTAACAGAAAAAGCACAGCTGGATCCCACTATGTGAGCCAAGGTGGCGCAGTGGTTAAATGCAGCACTGCAGGCTACTGCTAGATCAGCAGTTCAGCGGTTCAAATCTCACCGGCTCAGGGTTG